TGGGGCTCAGTTGCATGATTTGAATCAAGCTCTTCGTTGATTTGGTAAGTATGTGTGGGTTGTAGTGGAGTCAAGACATGCTTCTATGAACTCTAGGGATTGGGTCGGAAGAAGGGTAGATTTTTGCACATTGATAATGAACCCTAGGGATTCTAAGAAATTCTTTGTGAAGAGAATCACGTCTGTTGCAGACTTCTGAGATGGTCCACGAATGAGACAATCATCGAGATATGGGAATATCGTGATCCTTCGCGATGAAGATATGCTGCTGCAACTGCCAGGGTCTTGGAAAAAACTCTGGGGGCTTGTAGCCAGACAGGAACCCCCTTTGTAACATCCATTTTTGCTTGCCTGGAGCATACAGGGCACACAGAGCAGTAAAAACCTTAGAGCAGGAGGCTCAGGATATGCAGGCTGCTGTGACCGTGAATGGCTGTAAACAGAGGTATGCCAATTGCTGACCAATAGGCTGCCGAGGAGTGCCCTTGACTAAATCCCATATTGATACGAACACACAGCCGTCCACGGGGGGAGGAATCTCTCACCCAGTAAAAAAAAATGTCTAGTGCTCACAATTTAGTTATCTCTCTTGCAAGTGTAAATTAACTTGAAACTTGCTTGTAAGAACTGGTGCCACAAAATGGACCAACACAATTTAGCATCTTAGACAAGAAAGAGGATACGGGCCCCTATGGGTATAAAGATGGGTCCAGAAGCACATTTACTCTGAGCGTCAATCTACCATCTATCTGCTGGTCGGGTTTGGTGTTTGACCTCCCGAGGTTCCATGGGGATGCCCACCTCGTATTCGTCTTTCCGAGGAATTGAGGGACTGGCCCTGGCCTGACACGCTGGATTCGAGAGGCACAGAAAGGGGTAAAATTTGTACCTGGATGTGGTCCTTTGTCTTAAGTGTACACATAAACTTAGAGCTCTTTAAAGATTAAGCTGTCACTTGGTACCATTATTTCTATTTTCTATCTTTATTTTCTTTGTAACCATTTTTTTAAGCTCTATATTTGCTAGCAGTTAAGAAATAGAGCAATAGCCATTGTAGCCATATGATTTATAAGCTTCTTTAATAAACATGTGACTGTTTAAGCTTTAACCTGACTCATTCAGTTGCTGTAACAGAACCAAGCACAATTTAAAAGAATTTCAGCCGGTCATAAGGGACAGGTATAGGAAGAGTTTGGGCGTTTTGGATCGTGTCACTCCTAGGTGACAGATCCGTTGGGGCATCTCTCAGTCTTCCCTAGACTGCCTGCTACGAAGGGATCCTGTATCCTAGCAGCTAAAATCTGAGATGTAATAAGCTCTTCCTATAAACTCTGGGGCATCTGTCAGCCTGTTGGCTGCCCTCTGCGATGGGACCCCTGTCCTAGCAGTAAAGTCACGGACGTTAAACCCTTTTCTCAGTAACATACACACACACACTGCCCTGACCGTCGGCTGACAGGGCTGACGAAAGACTGAATGGCAGAACCCTGTATTGAGAGTGTCCTTGAGCAAGTGCCTGTGTGCAGAGTGAATCGTTATATGAAAGTACTCATCTTGAAGATCAAAGGCTGCAAACCAGTCTCCCTTGTCCAGTGCCAGGATTATTGTCACCAGTGTGACCATCTTGAACTGTTGTTTTCAGTCTCCTTCCTCTTGTTCTTTTTTCTGTGAGGAAGTCATTTGAGTAAAAGCTTCTCCCCTGATATTGTTCAGGTACCCTCTCTCTGGCTCCTATATGTAGGAGGTGCTCCACCTTTTTGCGTAGCAATGTCTTGTGAGAAGGATGCCTGAAGAGGGATGGGAAGGATTTGGAAGTTGGTGGAATAGGATGGAGGATCTGCACTTGATGATTTTCAAACCCCAAAGGTCCATGGTTATTGCTGCCCACTGGCTGTAGAAGGGTCATAGACAGTGACTGAATATGGCACACTGATGAGGCACTCGTGAGTTGGAGAAGTCTTTCAAGCCCTCGACCAAGACCTCAAAGCTGCTGCTTAGAGGGATGGTGATTGAATAGGTAAGTGTTGTTAGGTCGCCAGTGGTGGTTTCGCATTTTGGCTCAAATGTTCTCATAGGGACTTTACTGTTGCTATCTGTTAAAAGTGAAGTCCCTGTATGTTTGATAGGGAGTATATCATCTCCTGCAGTATTAGGGCATGTACATGCCCAATGTACAGAAGGTGGTCCTCGAGTCCTTACTCGAGTGGAGGACTTCATCAGTCTTAGCTGCAAATAATTTGCCCTATTTGAATGGTAAGTCTTCAGATTTGGCTTGGAGTTCTTTGGGGTCTCCAGCCACATGTAACCATAACATACATCCGATAACGACAGATGTTGCGGTTGCTCTTGCAACTGTGTCCGCAGTGTAGAGTGCTATTTGTAATGCTGTTCTGGCTATGGCATGGCCTTTCTGGGTTATAGATCTTAAAATTGGTCCTTTATCATCAGGAAGATGCTGCATCAATTCTGCCAGTTTAGCATAACTGTCAAAATTGTAGTTTGCTAAAACCACTGCATAGTTAGCTATTTGCAGCTGCAAGTTGAAGAGGAGTACATTTTTCTGCCAAATAGATCTAAGCACTTTTGATCTTTGTCTTGTTCAACAGATCTGTATTGTGGCATTTTGGCTCTCTGGGTTACAGCATCAACCACTAAGGAACTTGCTTGTGGCTGGATAAATAAAAAGTCCATACCCTTAGATGGGACAAAATATTTCTTGTCTGGTCTCTTGTTAGTTGGCAGTGCTGAGGCTGGCATTTGCTACACCTCGTTTATTGTTTCTTGATTGCCTCATTTAGGTAGAGCTATTCTCAACTTCGAGGAGGGGTGAAGGTTCTTGAACAATTTGTCTTGTTTTTCCAGTATCTCTGACAGTAGCCACCCTTTTAAACAGGTCTTATGCCTGAGGTCATAAGTTAATGACTGGTCCTCTGGAATGACAGCCTTATTGGAAACTGATAAAAATTTGTCAGTTGGAGATGCATCTGGCTGTTCAGTACCTGTGTCATCTATAATCTGTCCCTCCCCAGTGTCTATTTCTGTGATATGGGAGATGTGAGGGAGGTAGTGATCTGTGAGCCAGAGTTTAGTATATGGTATGTTGGAGCTATGAGGGTGCCCAGTATCGATAAGGAAACCAACAGTATGGATGATAGGGATGGTAAAACCAGTCCGGATACCACATTGGGTGACCTGCCTACTGCGGGTGTTGCCTGCCCTAAGGTGAATGAGGGATGAATATTGTCAGGAGAATACACTCTTACGGTCCCCTGTGTGGTAGCTGTAGTGTGAAAGTACTGGCGAGTATGGTGAAATCAGAGAACCATGCACAGAAAATGAGGATTGGGAATGATGGCAGAGGGGAGGAGTGTATGGAGGCCCCAATCCTAGTTCTGTGTACAGTACTGGTGCTTGATAATGTAGTGGTTCTTGAGGTGCCAGAGAATAGGAACACGAGGAGGTATCAGTGCCGCTGATGATGGTGCCGAGTGAGGGCTATGCATACATGGCACTGATCTTGCTGATTTTGGCCTGGGTTTGGTAGGTGTCAAGAAACCAGTGGTGCAGGCGGTGTCACCGTGTTGCTTAGATGCTCAGTGCTGGAATGCCTTTGGTGCCAGGGCGGTCAGTACCACAATTTGCTTAGAACGGGATTGCAATTCTATCCCCATTGCTGTGCGTGGGTGTGCCAAGCCAGAGGTGTACGGTTTGTCTGTCTTAGTGACCCTTGATGGGAGGGAGTGGAGGGCTTATGTAGTGTAAGTTTTGCTTATGTTTCTGTTTGGCAACAAAGTCAGTTTTGCTGCTTGCCTGCGGCTCAAATGCCTTGTTGAACAGCAGCATATGCAGCCTGAGCTTTCTTTCTTTATGGGCTCTGGCTGTAAGGCTGTGGCAGTGAGCACACTACTGAGGCACATGAGTTTCCCCCAGGCATTGAATATATGACCCTGATATAGACATAGGATCCTGGCATGTTATACATTTTTTAAAAATCATTGGGTGCTGTCATTTCGTTAGTCTCATACCATTGTTAACTGTGCCACATGCTTTTCTTTTCTCTGTCTCCCTTTTACTTTTTGTGGCAATATGCTGAGGCTTTCCATGTAAATCCATCATCCCTTAGGCACTATGGGTTAACTATTTACAATCACCGTGAGGAAAATTTTTTAACTAAGTACTACTGACTATAAATATGAGAAGGGAATGATTTCTAACTAATTGCTTGAATTCCTGTATACAGAAGAAAAAAAAGCTGCTGAGGAGGAGAGTGGTAGAGTTCCATCTGTGACTGAGGGTAGTCAAGAAGGAACTGAGGAGAGTTGGGCTGGTTGAGCAAACTCCAAGACCATGATCAGTGTGCACAGTTTTTGCACATACGAGGCCAAACTGAAGCAAAATGCAGGACAATGTAGCACTTTAAAGACTAACAAGATGGTTTATTAGATGATGAGCTTTCGTGGGCCAGACCCTCTGGCCCACGAAAGCTCATCATCTAATAAACCATCTTGTTAGTCTTTAAAGTGCTACATTGTCCTGCATTTTGCTTCAGCTACCCCAGACTAACACGGCTACATCTCTACCACGAGGCCAAACTGGACACTGCTGAAAAAGTCTCCAATCTGTGATGCCAGGACGAGTCTGACACCAACAGTGGAGCACCCACAATGACATCACTTGAAGAAGAATTGTGCCCATTTGTGCTTAGTACTCCAGTAGGCCAACATAACATGGTCAGTTCTTAGATGAGGCATATCTACTATTGGAAAGGGGGAGATTTTCCACCCTTTCTTTTCCACCATCTGGATAGGAAGCAGCACCAGTAATCTGGACCAAAGCTGAGTACAGAGCAAATGGGGTCCCAGTCCTTGTCCCAGGTCAGGATAGTACCAGCTGACTAAACCCCCTACAAGTAGCCAAAACCTCACCCTGAAAATAGAAAAGGCAACCTGGCACATCTCTGCCCTCCCTACTCCCAGTGTTTTTCTGTCTAGGATACTTACTTGGTGTCCATAGGGTTGATTTTACGGAATAAATGGTGCATGTTATGATAAATAAGGCCCACAATGGTCACCCAAGCTGTGAATAAAGTCAACAAGAGAAATTATACTTCAGTGTGACAAACCTGAGCAAGATGCTTTCCTCACCTAGGTATAAAACTCCATGTTAATTTAGAATCCTGACTTCTGCAACCCTCACACCTTTGCTTTAATGGGAATTCCAAAGGCTCCCATAAAGAAATGAAAGAAGGCAATCTGCACTCTGCTGTGCAATGTTTAGAGCACATATCAGGAACATAATGAAAGGAAGCCTGACATCTACTCACCATGAAAATATAGAGTTAAACTGTTAAATTTAATCATTCATCCATTATAAAGTCACCTCAGAACAAAAGTCAGCTAAGAGTGCCCATGTAACATACCAGAGTCTTAGCATCTAGAGTGCTTATAATAAATCAGAAGGATTATCTGACTACTAACAACATTTACTGGCATCTTAAAAAGCTCAAACACAGATGAGTAGTTTTGTTTCCATTATTTGTTTGCAGTCTGAATATGCTGTATTTACAGATTCCCCAACCCTTAAATGGACAGAGGCCTGTTTTACAAGTGTCAGCCATGCATCTTTTATTTTTAAATCTGTTGGATTCAAAGGATTTAGAATGTCAAGCATTTAAGGTTGAATAATACGTTCTAAAGGCAGGCTCATTTGAACAGCCTATCAATGCAACAAATAACAAAGTGGTTAAAAAGATAAAACATTAGCTCCAGGGATTGAAGTTGCCCTCATGTAAAATAGTGCCAAGATTAAATGGTTGTAATATATATACCTAGCTGTATTCAAGGCCGGCTCAAGCCATTCTTGCGCCCCAGGCAGTGGGCGCATGACGCATGCACGGCCCCAGCCCCTGGCATGCTGATTGCAGCTCTAAGGGGCGCTGCGCAGCCCTCGGTCCTGGGCACGCGGCACCTGATGGCAGATCTAAGGGACACCGTGCAGCTGGGCACACGGCACCCCTTAAAGCTGCCGTCAGGTGCCCTCCCTGCCCGGCTAGCCCTCCCCCCCTTAATCCAGCCCTGGCTGTATTACTCAACATTTAGAAACAAGAGGAAGCAGCATTAAAACAGTGCTGAAAATGCAGCACTAACCAAAATCCCTGCCCCCATGCAAGAGCATTTCCAGAATGAGTAAATGTCAAGATTGGTGGACAATATTCTATTCCTCCCAGCAAATCTTGCCCTTACCTTTCTTATGAAAAGCTTCACTGGGGATAGAAATATAACTCTGTCCTTGTGATGGGAAGCGGTAGTGAGACAAATTCAGACAGAGAGGAGGTATTTTGACTAAAGAATAATCTGTAAAATAATCCAAAACAGAAAGTATGATAACAATCAATAACTTTTATAACCTTGTTGACCATAGAATTACAGTTTGTACTTTTAATAGCTACTATAAATCTTGACTGTAAAACCCCATCTGTTTGGGAAAAAAAGAGTAATTCCTCCCTCCCATCAAAGAATAAAACTGTTTTCAAAAGGTTCTGACAATTTATGAGTAGAAATATTAGTATATGAGATGTTAGTGTACTATGGATCATTTGGCAATGTGCACAAACAGAGTTAACGAGGCACTGAGGTAAGCAAAAGTAATGGATACCATTCTCTTTTTTTACTCCTGACATTTCAAAGACGTTATTTTAGAACCTTACTGCTCAGTTTTAGAATGTTATTGACCAGGACAATGTGATGGAAGGGACAATTTGCTTGTGATTCATGACTCCTTTTTTCTTGTTATCTCACAATGGAATAGGAAAGAATACCCGAACTAGTCAATTATTTGTATATAAAGCCGGGCAAATATGTTGGACAAACCGTTGATGCAATGAAAAAAAATGCTGCTTTCGTCAGCCCCAGACTATGAATTTGACATTAATAGCGTTCACAAAACAGGCAGGAAGTAAGGATCTGATGGTGGTGGTGGTGGCGAAGCTCCTGTCACCTCAACAACTATCTTCACTTGCTTATAACTTATCACCTGGTAGCTAGAGCACTCACTAGGATGGGGAAACCAGACTCAGAATCCTTGTTCTGAAAACAGACTTGAAGTAGACTTTGCTGATTCACTGAAAACTCTGTAAAAATTCAAATTCAATTCAAAATAAATCGAATATTTTCCTGATTTTTCAGATTTAACACCAACTAGAAAAATTAATTATTCATTCAGCAATCTTTGTAGCACCAAAAGACTGAGATTAGGGCCCACAGTGCTAAATCCTGTACCTATACATGTTACAAGACAGCTGTAGTCCCATGAAAGATTTGCAGTCGGTATAAAGCAGATGAAAATGCTCAACTCTTCCATTCTCTTGTCCCCAATTTAAAATTCTGTAGCTTTCAGACACTTACAGTTTCGAAGGCTTGTGTAAAAAGCTAACTATTCATGCATGATTAAACTAAATCTAAAATACCATATGAGAGCATTCATATTCTTCCCTCAGCCTTGTGCTCCACATAAGGACTCTTCCCCACAAAAAAAAAACAATAAAAGAAGATCAGATTGCTCAGAAATATGGATTGACTTTCTCTAAACTAACTGTAACATCATATTTCTGCAATGTATGCAATTTGTTGGAGTAAAAGAGAAGAAAATCTATTTCTACTTCCTTCCCCACTCTGACAAATTATCAATGATGGGTACTCCCTCTCCCCCTTTCTTTTTCTGTTATAAACTGTGAGAGTCCCCCTTTTCTCTAAACTCTGCTCATGTAAGAAAGTGGGTTTTGACTTCATTCTTTTTTTGTGTGTGTGTTAATCTCTAGGGTGCTATAGGACTACTCATTGTTTTAGGCAATGAACTATTTATTAAAATCAGACATACTCCAATTTAGAAGGTGACTGAAGATAAATCTATACTACAATCAAAAGCTGGCAACATGGCTATGGCTGGAGAAAGCAGGGGAGCTGATAAGACCGCCAGTCCCCTAAGCAATGTGGAGGGGAGGGGTTGGCTCTGCACTCCCAGAAAGGGTGGCCAGATGGAGCATGGCTAGGGCGGACAGCACCCAGCACTGCCCAGATTTTGGAGTTGAAAGTTTTATTCTTTTATATTTGTATTTTAGGTTTAATAATGTAGCAATGTAAGGTAACACATTACCACATTTAATATTGTATTAAACTAAACCCTTTAGTTAAGTATATATATTTTCTTGTTTTAAAGTTTAATGAGTTTAGTAAGTAAGGAAATGGAGTTTTGGTATTGCGTCTATAATGAGACTAGAAGAATATTGAAGTCTGAAGTCTTAATTGTTTGATTTACAATGTCTTTTGCTTTGCCCAATATGAGATACTGCTGTATTATGCTTTTCTTTGAAAGTCCTTGTAAAGATTGTTTGTGTGGTGTGTATGTGTTAAGATAAAGGTGCAAAGGTTATCCTCAGAGCCAGATGGCCAAGAAAGGAGAGGCAAGGCGTGGGTGAAGAAGAAGACAGACCGATCGGCATCGGAGGAACCATCAGTGCATGCCCATGGTCAAGGATTGACAGATTAGCAGATTGACGGCCCTAATGTGGAGCTGGCACACCTCAGAAACGATTGATTACAGGATAAGCCTTTCAGAGATGTTTTGGGAATGATTGACATAAAAAAGGTAACACACCGGACACAGACTGATAAAGCGAAATCCATAGACATCAACAGAGAAAAGGATTATAAAAACAAGGTGCTTTGCCATGGAACTTTGGGTTCGTCTTGCCACCAACTCTAGGAGAGCATCGGATTGTGACCAACAAAAAGCCCTGCTCCTTTTCTGTGGGGGGATCTAGCTGGCCACTAGATTAATCCAGACTCCTGACTGGTAACTATAAGATCGTCTGGCGGGACTGTGTGTGTATGGTGTCTGTGTGTGTGAGTGACTGAAAAGCATATGCTACTGTTGTATTCTTAATAAATGTGGCATACTGCCTTTTCCCCTATAAAAGATCTCGTATGCTTCGTTTAAGCATAACATGGATGGCATACCCTGCCTCCCCCCTCAATACCTGGCCCTTAGAACCAGCAGAAGCATGCAGTGCTATGCTCCAGCAGTGATTCTAAAGGGCCCAGGACACCAGCCACCACCGGTGTCACACTAACAGCAGCAGTGTCCAGGAGCCCTGGGCCCTGTCCTGAGGCAACTGACCCATTCACCCCTCTACCCCTTCCCCTCACCCCCATCTGGGGGCCTGGTTCAGGCTACAAAACTGCAGTGTAGTCATTCAGTCTCGAGGAGGAGCCCAGGAGCTGAGACCCTGCAGGAGAGGTGGGACTCAAAGTCTAAGTTCCAGCCTGAACTCCTACACTACTGGTTTTTAAGCCTCGCAATCCAAGTCCCACAAGCTTGAGTCAGATGACCCAAGCTCTGAGATTCACTGCTATGGAGTTTTCATTGTAGTGTAGATATATTGTGAATGTTGCTGTTGCCTCTTGCCTGCTACCAGGAGCTGAGACCCTGCAGGAGAGGTGGGACTCAAAGTCTAAGTTCCAGCCTGAACTCCTACACTACTGGTTTTTAAGCCTCGCAATCCAAGTCCCACAAGCTTGAGTCAGATGACCCAAGCTCTGAGATTCACTGCTATGGAGTTTTCATTGTAGTGTAGATATATTGTGAATGTTGCTGTTGCCTCTTGCCTGCTACAGATGATGTACCCTCAATGGTTACAACGGCTGGCTTTCCTTCCAGATTTTTGGCCACATGCACCATCACACTGTCAATTGTTTCGATTAAACCTCCAATCACAGGAACAGTCTAAAAAAAATAAGGCATCTCAATAATAAAAATAAACCATTGCTCAAAGCAAAGCGCTGGCATAAAATCCAGTTTTTATTGATCATGTAACTGCCTAACTGTCAGAATGGTTAAACACTGGAATAAATTGCAGGGAGGTTGTGGGATCTCCATCACTGGAGATATTTAAGAACAGGTTAGACAGACACCAGTCAGGGATGATCTAGATCATGCTCGGTCCTGCCATGAGGGTAGGGGATAGGACTTGAGGATCTCTCAAGGTCCCTTCCAGTTCTAGTGTTCTATGATTCTATGAGTTTATGTAAGAATGTCCAGCCTGTGTTAAGGACACATCTCATTTCTCCTTCCCAGGCCCATACAAAGTAAAAACACTGCACAATTCAGAGCCTGCAAAGTACCAATTGGGAATTTATATGGCTCCACAGTCCAAGCCAGCCTAAGTCAGCTGACCCATGATTCAGATTCACTGGTGTTGGGTTTTTATTGTAGAGAAGATATATGTGAACATTGCTGTTGCATCCTACCTGATATAGTTGAAATTTGCTGGACCAGGGGAGGTCTCCTGCTACCAGCCCACCTCCCCTTCCTGCTGCTAGGCCCAGCTGCCCCTCCACCCCCTCATGCAGAGCTGCCTCAACAGTTACAACAGCTGGCCACAAACTCTGGGCTAAAATATACTTAAACTCCCAATCTGATAATGGTGGTATCCACTTGTTGACTTGGCCACCAGTTTCTGTCAGTCTTGCAGTATGGAAACAAACATAAATTATTCCCAAAATAACTTCTTTAATGCAAGGCCTAATGGCTGGTGAACATCATCCATTCAACTGATGTCATTGGGAGTCAAAGTTCAGGAAACTGTCAGTACTTTGCAGGCTCTAAATAATGAATCATACAGTGTTTACATTTTTCATCAAAGCTATTTACGATTCAACTTCAGCTTGATTTGTCACAGCCCATGTCTACTCCCTTTTTAAGGACCAGTCCCTCATTCCTTGATCTCTTACAGCTTAATGCTGACAAATACTGTGAAATTCCTAAGTTCTTCCCATTAGCACCCTTCTGCAGTGTAAAGAACAAGATCCAAAGGTCAGATCCTACACACTCTTGATCAGTTGAGTAGTCTTTACTTATGTGAGGACACACATGAATAAGGGCTGAAGAAGTGGACCCATAACATATCAGTAAAGTCATATGGCTTGTATCTAGTTGATATCAATGGAGCTATGCTGATTTATATTAGCTGATGCTCTGTACATATTACTAAACTTTTACATACTACAGGTTGGATCTCTCTGGTCCAGCACCCTTGGAACCTGACCAGTCTCAAATAAGGAAATTTGTTGGACCAGGGGAGGTCTCCTGCTACCAGCCCACCTCCCCTTCCTGCTGCTAGGCCCAGCTGCCCCTCCACCCCCTCATGCAGAGCTGCCATGCCATTGTGGCTCTGGAAACCCAGACTGATGCATCCCCAACCTCACTATCAGGGCTGCTGTGTCCCTGGCTCAGGCTCTGCACTGAGGCTGCCGAATCTGCTACATCTCTGATCTGCTACATCTCCGTCCATGGCCCCAGCTGCATTACCAGGGTTCTGGCCCCAGTCCCAGCCATACCAGGCTCCGACCCACCAGCCCTCTTGCCACTGGGGCTCCTAGCCAGGACTCCCTGGTTCAGGAATATCCACAGTCTTACTAAAACCACAGATGTTGCTGGACCAGAAAGTCTTGGTTTTGGGAGGTCCAACCTGTCCAAGAATGTCCATTTCAATGTACAGTGATGTCATAGTACTGATTTATGATATCATTGCAACAAGATACACAGAAGGAGACACTAAGCTAACAAAATGAGGGAAAACATATGAGTCACATTTTATTCTCCCTATTATTGGTGTAAATCCAGAGTAACACCACTGAATTGATTTACTCCAGTGTAACAAAAAGGCAAATTGAGAGCAAACATCGTGTGGGAATGAAGATGGAATAACTTTCACCTCCTACATTAGATATAATCTTACCCAGGGTATTGGTCAAAAAGATTTATTGCCTACTCTGTATCCATTCTGTAAATATGGAGATGGTTTCATGGACACAAGAAATATTTTAAATCTAATAAAAAAGCAAATGCTTTACAAAAATATCCTATAAATATCCAGATGCATGGGATAAGTTAATTCTTTTACATAACTGCTTTGAAGAAGAAACTACTAAGCAGGCTAAATCCCATGCAGAAATTCTCTTTGTTAAATACTGTTTTGCTGACATTGCCCATTCCTTTGCAAAACTCATTTTTTATACTTTTTTACCAATTCTTACGGAATATCTCAGAGCAGTAGCACAGAAGTTAAAATAAGATAATTCTCAACAAACTATTACAAAATGAACATTTACTACCTTTACTTTGGATGTGCAGAGGAGAACACAAATAAGTTATACCGCCAGATATCCAAAGCTGAGGGATAATAGATGCTATCAATGTTATTGCTATCCAGTGTACACCTGAATTAATGTGCAAAGAAGTTATTTGTCTTACCTCTGGGTATTTGTCAGACAAGATGGGCAACAAAACAAAATCTTCAATAGCTTTCAAGAAAGCCTAAGGAGAAACAGAACCACATTATCTAATTACTAAACTATCCCTACATCCCCAGGAAAACATTCAAGGTAGATTCCCATTAAGAGTTCCAAGATTCATTTCTAAATGATCAACACATTTTCATGGAACTCACAAAGTTATCAATGCCTGGATTTTTATCAATATCTTTTGTACAGTAACATTAATAAAGTAATAATGTATATGTTGATAGCATTACCGTGAATCTCCTATATTACATCTATTACACCTCAGCTAAAGCTAGTGAAAACACTGGAATTGAGTGGAGTTTAAAATTATTCTGCCACTGAACCCCACTAAATCCATGTGGAAAAGGGCATGTTTGCCCAATAGTTCAAAGCAGGCTGTTAGGAAACACACATAATAACTCTGGCTCTTACCATTGTTTAACCTGACTATCTGTTACACTAGCAGCTTGAGGTTTCCTATGAGGCCAGTCTCATAGGGTATATCCACACAGCAGCATTATTTTGGAATAAAGCCTATTATTTTGAAATAATTTCAAAATAGTTGGTAGCTTATTCCGGATTCTGAAAACCTCATTCTACGAGGAATAACGCCTATTCTGAAATAACTATTTTGGAATAGTGCATGTGTAGACAGGGTGGCTGGAGTTATTTCAAAATAAGTGGCCTACAAGCTATTCTGTCCACACTCATCACAACTCTATAGCTTCCCTTCCCTTGCAGCCCTTAAAGGTGCAGGCACAAGGTAAAGGGCTTTTGGCAGGAAGCAGACCCTGCTACTTCTCTGCCAAGCTGCAGCAGCCTGCATGGCTGTCACTGCTTCCATGAGCCACCCTCATGCTCCATCTGAGCCCTCCACAGAGCCAGTCAAGCAGGCAGTAGGCTCCCAGGACCCTGCCAAGGCATGGAAGAGGTGTGTGCCTTCCTGGTTTGGTGCGGAGATGCTGGTCCTCATTGAGGTCTGGGAAGAGGAGGCAAACATCCAGGATCTCCATACCAAATGCAGGAATGTGGACATCTATGACCACATGGCCAAGAGCCTTAGGCTCCAGAGTGAGCACTGTGATGGTGCTGACCTCATCTGGCTACATCCACACTCAGAAGCAGGTGCAGATGAAGGTTAAAGAGCTGAGGCAGGCCTACACCATGGCCAGGGAGCACAAGTCCCACTCCAGGTATTTCCAGCTCCTAGAGCAGCCCGGCATCAAGAGGCCCACTTCCCCTGGGGCTGGAAGATCACTTTTCCAAGCCACAGGATGCAGCTGCTGCAGAGCCACTGAAAGGAGGGAAGAAATGAGAGGATTTCTAGAACATCAGGTTCTTGGCCCAGCCATAATGGGCCTTCTCCTGCACTCCGGACTTACACTGTGCAGTTCTAAAATATATTAGAACTGCTTATGGACAGAGGCAGGTCAAAACTAATGCATTACAAGTGTGGTTGTAATCGGAAAGTTTATTGCAGAGCACTTAACTCACAAAATTTTATGCTGCAAGTTACTGTACAGGCAGTCCCCGACTTACGCGGATCCGACTTACGTCAGATCCGCACTTACGAACGGAGCTTTCAGCAGCGGCTGAATCAGGACGTCTGGGGCAGAGCAGATGGGGTGCTGCTGGGTTGGTCCAGTAGCACCCCA